GGATGCAGCCCTCAGCCCTGGCCTCAGGCCCATGGCTCCGGTGGCCCTCCGAGGCCTGGCGGGCAGCCTCCTCAGCCATGAGCCAGCCCAGAGTAAAGGCACAGGCCACCACTTCCTCTGACCCCACCTGCCCTCTACTAAGCTTCCCCTTCAAGACCTTGCTGGTGTCCCAACATGGTGCCACCACTTCCTGGGGCTGTGTGACCTGGGGAGAGGTGCTGGACTTCTCTGAGCCTCTATTTTCTCACATGTAATATTAGTCAAACAGGAATGTAGCTGAATTTGCCAAGAATTGCATATTTCAGTCTCAATTAACCTTCCCACATCCCTTCCAGGGGTTAGCCCAGTATTAGCTTCCATTTTCAGATAAGAAAACAGAGGCTCTGACTCAAGGCCACACAGTACATGGGATGGACCCAGGCAGCATTCTTACCCCGCTGGGCAGTCTCAATGTGGTATGGGACCTAGGAGCACTCAAGACACACAAGCATTGAGGGAGTGCAGGTGAGCAGGGTCTTTAACTCAGCCTTGAACCCTCTATCCTGGTACCACCCCCTAGAGGGTGCTGAATATAGGAAAAGACCTGAGTTGGATGGAGATGGGAGTAGGGGGTGCCTAAGCTTGAATGTGCCTCAGAATCACCCTGAGGGCTTGATAAAACCTAAATAGCTGGGCCCCACCCACAAGGTTTCTGATTCAGAAGGTCTGGGGTGGGGCCTGAGAATCAGCATTTCTGACAGGTCCCTGGTGCTGCTGATGCTGCCGGTCCTGGACTACACTGAGGCCGAGGGCAGGACCCTCGGGGGGAGGGGCACAGAATTACTGCTGCTTTGCTGGGTCACCTCAGGCAATTCACTTTACTGCTCCGACCTTCATTTTCCTTGTCTGTAAAATAGGGATGTGGATAATGCTGACTCACTTGTGGGGTCTCTGGGATGAGGATAAGGCTTTCCTGCTAGCAAAGGGCATCATGACGCCCCACGTCTCACTGATATTCAGTAAAAGCCAGCTTTTATGGGCTTTTATGGGCTTTTATGTTATAAGCTCAGTTGCCTTGGGCAAGTCACTTTCCTTCTCTGAGCCTCGGTTTTGTTCAGCTGTAAAAATGCTGATCCAGCACAGGCACCAGCCCAGCACGTGCTAGTTCCCTTCCTCTGAGCACACAGGCCTGGCACCTGGCCTGGCCCAGCTCCCTTGCCCTCCCCGCTCCCTGCACTCACGGGGTTTCCCGGTCTCCACCTCCATGGCCTGGCTGAAACGGCCGCAGCCTGCCGAGGTGCGGGCTCGGACCTGGAACACATAGCGGGTGCCCGGCTTGAGGCCTGAGACGGTGGCCCTGGTGGTGACGGCCTTGAGGGTGGAGTAGCTCTGCATCTCCTTGTCCTGTCCACAGAAGGGGCAGTCAGCTGAGGGGACCCCTGCCTGGTTCCCCTCCTGCTTCCTCCCTCCCTGAGGGGTGGTACCTTCTCATAGTACTTGATCTCATACTCCAGGATGATGCCATTGGGCTGTTCAGGCTCCTGCCACAGCAGAGAGACGCTGGTCTGCCCTGCCCGCTCCTGGCGGATCACCACCACCTGGGATGGGGCTAGGGGAGGGAGGCCGGCTGCAGTCAGATGAGCGAATGAGTGAGAATCGGGGCTGGCCTCTGTCCTCCTCCTTCTCAGGCCCTGCTTGCTAACTATCCTGCCTCTGCCCCGCTGGTCCTCCTGGAAAATCACAGGCTGCTGCCCTCGTCAGTCATCTGGAGTCCACACAGCCTGCCCCTGGCCCGGGATGCTGGGCTGGCCTGACTCAGACAAGGCCTAACGGCCCCAGCTCTCGCTGCTTCCTTCTTCTCCTCTCTGGCCGGGTCTCTCCACTGGAAGGGCAGCCCCTCGCCAGCCCCAGCGAGCAGACTCTCTTGTCCACCCTGGGGTCTCATCATCTGATGTCTCTATCTCCATGTCTCCCACCCCCAGCCCACCATGGAGCAGCTTTCGGGAATGCTTGAGGAAGGAGGAAGGGAGGGGATGAATCGAAGGAACCCATACTCTCACTGCTGGGTTTGGAGGGACGAGTGGGGCAGCTCTGGAAATGTAGGGAAGGGACATGAGCAGAGCCTGGACCATTCGGCTCAGGTGTTCTCGAAGTCACACGAGGCCACCTATTTGCCTCTCACTCATTGACAGATGCACCCATTCTCTCATTCATCCTTTCCCTCCCTGTGTCCTGCAGGTCACAGATTACCCATAAGGCCAGTCTGCTGCAAAGTGTCAGACAGAGACCCGGTCGCAGCCTAACAGGAAGTGCCCGCCCTGCGGCGACCCCTTTTTCCCTGCTCCTCTAGCCTGCAGGTGTCCTCTTCCCGCTCTGCTCACCCTGCACCTCCCATGTTCCCTACCTGCCCCAGTGGAACTCCCTTTTCCCTGCTCCTCTATCCTGCAGGCCTCCTCTTCCCGCTGTGCTCACCCCGCTCCCTGCACCTCCCATGTTCCCTACCTGCCCCAGTGGCCAGCTCTTGCCTCATATCTAGGCATCCTGTCACCCCAGCTTGCCTGGGAATCCCTTGAAGGCAGGGACCACACATAGTAGGTGCCCAATAAATGCTGTGGATGACTTTGACATGAAAAATTAAGCAACTCCAGAGTTAAGTTGGAGAGTGTGGTACAGGAGAGGTCCCACAGACTGGGACTTAGGTCATAACCCAACTCCTTTCTTGCTGTCTGGGACCATCACTGTCTCATGGCTGCAGCTTCTCCATCCAGAGGGCAGCTAAGCTTGTGGATGCCCTCTGCCAGGAAGAGGTGAGGATCAGAAGAGACCATTGTATGCAAGGGACACAGAGGGAGCCAGGAACACTAAAGCCTCTTAAAAATGAAGAAATTTCCAAGGCAAGAGGTGTGAGTGGGGCAGACACAGAGGGAGACCAGGGATCAGAGGCGGGAGAGAAATGGGCATGGACACCAGAGGGGGCTCCGGGGAAAGAGGGGCTTGTGGAGAAGAGGGGAGAGGTCAGGGTGGACCAAGCAGTCTCTGAGGACAAACCTCAACCGTTTGCTCAGGGCTGTTGTCTGCCCCAAACCCCCAGCCCAGAGCTAAGTAACTAAGAAAAATCAATGCGTGATTGCAGGTTGGTGAAATGCCGTGAAAGACATGAAGAAGGCGTCGTGATGGAGAGGACCTTCCACAGGGGTCTGGAGGGAACTGGGCCATTTCGCCTGGGGTGAGGAGGCCAGCTGAGCTCAGGACTGAAGGAGCCAGCCATGGGAATGCCACAGGGAGGAGCATGTCATTGCAATGGAGAAGCACGGCCAAGGCCCAGGGAGAGGCAGGGCTTGGCGTGTTCAGGATGAGGACCAGAGGCCAGTGTGGCTGGAAGGGAGGGAGCCAGGTGAGAGTGGACAGGGAAAGGCTGGAGAGGCGGGCAGGATTGGGCCACATGGGTCCCAGTGGGCCCGGGAGAGTCTGAATTGTATGTGAGCTCAGGCTGAAATTGTTAAAGGGCTTATGTATGACCTGATCGCACATTCCTTTTTAAATTAAATTCACTGGGTAACATTGGTTAATAACATTATATGAATTTAGGCAACCAACTGAATGGAAAAAGATATTTGCAAACGATACCTCCAATAGGGGCTAATACCCAAAATATATAAAAAACTCCTACAACTCAACAACAACAACAAAAAAACAAACAATCTGATTTAAAATGGGCAGAGGACCTGAATAGATAATTGTCCAAGGAGGACATACAGAGAGATGGCCAACAGATATATAAAAAGATATTCGGCATCACTAATTACAAGGGAAATGTAAATTAAAACCACAATGGGATACTTGTTTATATGGCTATTAATAATAAAACAAGAAATAACAAGTATTGGAGAGGACATGGAGAAAAGGGAATCCTCACGTTTTTAAAGCTTACTCAGGATGTGGTGTGAGAACCAATTACAGGGCAAGGTGGGAGGGGGCTCCTGTAGTTGCCTAGGCAACACATGATAGGAACATGGATGGTGCTATGGATATAACTGTGTCTTCTCACACCCACCCCACCAAATTCATATACTGAAGCCCTAACCCCCAGCATGATAATAATTGGAGCTGGGACCTCAGGGAGATAATTAGGTTTAGATGAGGTTGGGAGGGTGGGCCCCTCATGGTGGGATTTCTGCCTTTATAAAAAAAAAGACACCAGAGAATTCTCTCTCTTCTCTCCTTTCTCTCTCTCTCTCTCTCTGCCATATGAGGACACATCAAGAAGGCAGCTATCTATAAGCCAAGAAGAGGGTTCTCACCAGGAACGAATCAACCAGCGCCTTGATCTTGGACTTCCAGCAATAAATTTCTGTGGTTTAAGCCACCAGTTGATGGTATTTTGTTCTGCAGCCTGAGCACACGAAGTCAGATGGAGTTTTGGTGGGGAGACTGAGTGTAGAGATGGTCATGTTGACGGGAAACCCAGTAAGACTGGCTGGCGGATGACTGTGGCATGAGCGAGAGAGAGTCGAGGATGACAACTTGGGTTTGGGGCTTAAGCAACCCCATGAACCATGGTACCATGTCCTAATGTGGGCGGCCTGTAGGAAGCGCAGGTTTGAGAGGTGCTGTTCATTTAGCACACATCCATGGGAGTGGACAGCTGGACCTCAGTGGGGAGGTCTGCTCCGGTGGCATAAATTTGGGGATGTCAGCATCAAAGGAGAATCAAAGCTGTGAGCCTTGATAAGACCACTTAGAAAAGATAGACCTGGGTAAACAGGAAAGAGAGGAGGGTCTAGGAAGAGCCCGGGTCTTTCAGCCTTCGGAGGTTGTTTAGAGACAAGGGGCCGGCAGAGATGGAGACAGAAAATGGGGGGCGAGGTGGGGGGGGTGGGGGGCCCAGCACACAGAAGGCAAGATAAAAGTGTCCCTTCCAAGAAGGGGGAAAGAAGAACAGGGAGAGAAGTGTCCACGCCACCTGGGGCTGCTGAGTTTCTATAGACAGGTGGGGAAGGGCGCCTAACTGGAGTCGCTGATGGAGGCCCGGTGAGCTGAGGATGCAGATGCAGCTGCTCAGAAGCCCTTTCAGGAAGTTTTCATGTGAAGAGAGATGGCCCGGGGCTGGAAGGGAGCGTGGGGTCAGGGGAGGGTTTTTCTTTTAAATTATGGAGCGTATTGAATGGTGTCTGAATGCCACTGGCTTCTCTGCTTCGCCCTCCACCGCTGACCAGCCAAACACCCGTGTCAGTCACCTCAGCCACAGGGGTTAAGTCAGGGCCCTGAGCACCGGGCACAGAAGTCTGCTCCTCATTATGTCACCAACACTGAGTACAGAGCTTTGTTTTTAGTGGGCTTTCCATAAATGCTGGTTGAATGAGAGTCTCTTGAATGGAGGAAGTTCTGGCATCAGAGTGGGGTGCCCTAGGCTCAGAGAAGGGAGGCCTGTTTCACTTGGGAGTGAGAGAGACCTGGGTTCGAATTAACTCTGTCCCTTCCTATACAGAGACACTGGGTGGCACTCTGCGCCTCGGTTTCCTTATCTGTGCCGTGATGGGAATGGTGTCTGCTGGGCCCGTGTGGTGTGGGGAGGAGACAGGGTGAGGAGCTGTAGGGGTCCAGGGCGAGTACCAGGATGGCTGTTCACAGGGAGCTGCCTTGGTGGGCTCTTAGGTCAGGCTTTCACCTGTCAGGCAGGACCCACCAAAATTTGGAAAGAAAGAGGTTCCACGGGCTAAATTTAGCCCAACAACTGGCTAGAAACAGAAAAATGGCTGGCTGTTGTCCAAACCAGTGAGACCAAATCCATCCTGGGCAGTAGTGGCAGCTGTTCTGGAAAATGATAATCAGAGTGATTTCATTTTTTTAATGACATTTATTGAGCATGTACCATGGGCCAGGTGCTGGGCTAAGCATTTTCATTTCCTTCCCTTAAGCCTCGTAACAGTACCTGAGGCAGCTACTATTAATTCCAGCACACCGGGGAGGAAACAGGCAGAGAGGGATCCAGGCCTGCAGTGGCCACAATCGCCTGCCTCTGTACTTTCTGGATCATAGGACATGTTCTATTTTCCTAAGGGAGCCTGTAGCTCCAGGTCCTAGTGAGGAGGGCAGGGCCAGAAGAGGCAGGCACTAGCCCGAAAGGCCACAGCAAGCCCGCGACAGTGTTCTGACACTTGGGAGGGCGAGGGGCCAGGGAAGTTGGGGGGACAGAGCGTCTCCGCCTACCTGCCTGGTTCGTGGTGATGTTGACGACTGCAGCCCGGCGGGGCTCGGGGCTCAGGTCGGACACACCGTTGACGGCCTCAATCCAGAAGGAGTAGTTCATGTGGGCCAGCAGGTTGGCCACCAGCAGGCTGGCCTGCACCAGGCTCGTCTGCTGGGGCACGAAGCGGGTGCCACTCCCGCATGTCTCGCAGTGGCCCAACGTCCAGGGGCAGCGGCGGCACACGGCGTTGTAGGTGATGTCGCTGCGGCCCCCGGGGTCCAGGGGAGGGGCCCACTCCAGGGTCACAGATGTCCCATTCACACTGGAGATCAGGTTTACTGGTGCTGAGGGTGGCCCTGGGGAGCAAGGAATAACAGGTGGGGTGGAGGGTATTTATTTGGGCTGGTCCAGTCTCCCCCCGCCAGACCAGGGAATGGTTCTGGCACCTCCGTGATGTTTGGGGTTCCCTAAGGATAAAGTCACACCTACTCCATCCTCTGGAAGCTCCTCAAGGGTGGAGGCAGTGTCTCTGCCCTTACACTAGGACCACAGTGTCAGAGTCTGGGCACAGAAATCTACACCCCCTCCCCCGCACAGGACCACAGAGATCCTGGGGTTTGTGCTTCCCAAAGTTTTCATCCAGAGCCAGAGAGAGATGCACAGCCCTGGGGAGTGCCCATAGCAGCCACCAGGGTGTGAAATGCCTCAGTCATTTGTGTCCCATCTTTGCTCCTTAACTCCCTGTGCTCGAGCCCCGCCCCCCACCCAAAGCCCAGCAGGTGACCCCAACCCCGCCCCCACCCCTCTAGGCAGCACAAGGAGTTTAGAGAGAGGGGTGGGGCTGAGGTAGTCCCATGAGGGTGGAGATTTGAGCCAGGAGTGCCTGGGGCCTATGGAGACCCCTGGGCCTCAGAATTCCAACTCTCAGAATTCCAGGGAGGCGATCTTACATCTTAAGAAAACAGAACTGTAGAATCTCAGAATCATAGAGAGTTTTAAAAGCTGAAGGGTATGGAATACTAAAAGCCCAGCCTTTTACAGTCTTAAGATTTTTAGAACCTGAATTGTGAATTTGGAGAGAAACTAGAGTCCGGCCAGCTGCGTGCGAATGTTCAGGACCTAGCACCAGGCTCGCCTGGTCAAGGAGTCCATAGTTGTTACCATATCGCTCAGCCATCCTTTGTGCCCTGGCAGTTCACACATGGGGAAATGTATGGAGGGAGGGAAGGAGTGTGTGTGTGTGTGTGTGTGTGTGTGTGTGTGTGTGTGTGTGTGGTGTGAATATACATGGGCCCTCACTTGCTACGTGCATGTGCAGAGAGCCTGGGGCTGCGTCGTGATGGAGGTGGTGGGGTAGATGGAAAGATGAGGATCAAGTTGGGGTAAATTCTGAGGCAAAATCAGTCAGAACTGTGTGCAGTACCCCTCACTCTACCACAAGAGCCCAGAGCTGGCAAATGGGGTGAGCTGAGCTGACTGCAGCCCCTCCCCAGTTAGGATGGGAGGGTGAGGCCCTTTCACGCCAGGGGACAGGAGGCAATGCAGAAACTGTTGCAGCAGAAAGCCCAAACAGTCACACAGACCTGCAGGCTCAGCGTCAGACATCCTCGGAGTCCCCTCAGGTACCCAGAGCATGCACGCATGCAACCACACCTGCTCCAGGCACACACCTCCCTTGCAGGGCCAGGCGTGCACATGCTGAGCTCACAAGGCATGTTCATCAAGCTCTATGGGGACTTAGGAGTCCCCTACAGGTAGTAGATGTGCACACACATGTGTGTAAATGCCTTCTTAAGAATCCTTTACATATGTGTGCACAAATACTTGCACACTCACACTCAGGCATACAGATACTATGCAGGCATCTTCTGTAGGAGCAGCTGCTGACACAAACGCACAATCACTGTAAGCGTCCAGGGCACACACGGAATCAGACATGCATGTCGTCATCCAAGCAGGCAGCCATACACACTCCATATAAATACTCATGCACACACACAGCAGCTCCAACCAATTCATCAAGGATGATGGTGCTGGAGGGCTCCTCTGACACCCCTCTTGCCTCATGGGCAAACCCCCAGCTTAAGATGACCAGAGCCACCCAGTGCTGAGAAGGACAGGAGTCAGCTCTCACCTGCCCTCTGAAGCAGAGAGGGGAGACCAAAGGAGGGAAAGATGGCAGGTGACCTATGACAAGAAACTGGGAGGCCAAGGCTACCACTAAGGGGTTAGTGGGTCAAAGTCCCACACGAGACTGCCCCTGACCCAGGAGAGCCACCTTGCCCTGCCTTGTCTGCAGAGTACTGGCTCCCTACAGCTTGTGGGACTGAGCACAAGGTCCTGGCCCAGTCTTAGCCTCGAGGGCTCTGGGGTCCAGGGCTGGTACTCACGTGTGCAGGCTGCAGATGGTGGGTCCAGGGCTGCGCGGTAGTAGCTGAGGTCACAGCGGCAGGTCTGGGCGGCAGGGGCTGCAGAGTGACTGTGGGAAGGGCAGCGCGCACAGAGCTGGTCCCCAGGGGCCGATTTGTAGAAGCCTAGCTCACAGGCTGTGGAAGAGAAGGTGGCTGTAGGTAAGCCGGCTGGGCCACTGTGGGGGTCTCGAGGACAGCTCTTACTTTGACCCAGGGCTTCCTGGGGGGAGTCCCCTGAGGGACAGAGGTGCAGACCTTCAGAATCACCCAGTCCTCTTCTCATTTGCACAGAGAGAGACTAAAGCAGAGAGGACCTGTGACTTACTCAGGGTTGTATAGCAAGTTGAGAGCACAGCTGAGGCTGTAACTCTGACACCTGAGTCCAAGCCCCAAAGTTAGCACAAGGAAGAGCCTCTCCTACAACAGCCCCTCTTGCCAAGACCCCATCTCCTGCCTGATTCTGTTCTTCACAGGACACTGGCCTTGAGAGAGACACCAGCCTCCGGGGTAGGGGCCAAGAGGCTAAGAATCAAAAGGGAGACAAAACCCCAGGGATGTCATTTGGGTGAGACGTGAAAGCTGGACAGAGAATGGGGGTGGTGGAAATGTGCCCGGAAAAGAGACACATGTGATAAGAGTGGGGGTCGGGGCTGGGGAGTGGGGTGGGAGTCTGTTTTATAAGCTTCCTATGCAATGCTAACCATTCAGAAATTGCAGGCCCCCTACCCCTCCCAGATCCAATGTCACTGTCACCGTGGCTGGGACCGACTTGACTCATATTTGGACCTTTCTCCTGCCTCTGCCTCACGTCTCACCTGTATGACTGCAGCAGCCTCCACACCCAGCCTTCAGCCCTGCCTCCCCAATCCCAGAGGTTGGCGTGTTCACTATTCATTCTGCCTGCGTCCGTGAGCACCTGCTCTGTGCCAGGCACTGATCTGGGGGCTGGAGACATAGCCACGAACAAAATCCACAGTCTCTGCCCTCAGGAGTGGCATTTTAGAGGGGGGAATATGCAATCCAAAGGCCGTGATCATTTCCAGGAAGGAAATAGAGAGGATGATTTGGCGAAGGGTAAATTTGGCAAAGGGAGCTACCTCCCCCTCCCACTTTCCTGAGGAGACAATACTTGAACTGTGGCCTAAAGGGCAAGAATGAGTCAGCCATGTAGGGAGTAGGTTGAGGGACTCTCTAAAATGACACCTCTGTCACTGCCAGTTCAAACCCCATGGGCTCCCCACGGCCTGAGCAATAAAGCCTGGCATTCAAAGCCCTCCCTGCAGTCGCCATCAGCGCCACCTCTCGCTCCCCATCCTGAGCTAAAGGACTGGTCATTCCCTACAACGAGCAGGTTGTGTCCTCCCTCGGGGCCTTTGCACGTGCTCTGTGTGTGTGTGTGTATGTGTGTGTGTGAGCTTTCTTCCTGGGATGTCTTTTCTTCTTTGTCGACCTGTAGAACTCTTTTGAGATTCATTTTAATGATCCTTATGAGGAAGCCGTTCTAGACCTCTCGGCATGCACACACACGCATGTGCACACACACACACACACACACACAGAGATGACAACTCCCCTCTCTACTTCTGCAGTCCTTGCTCAGTCTCATCACCTGCAACACTATGGCTGTGTTTGTCTGTGTATCTGACTCTCCGCCTAGACCAGAAGGCCCCTGTGTACAGGTCCTTGTGAATAAGGCCCCGGGTCTGTTGCATTCATCTCAAAGTTCCTAGTGTCTGGCTCCGAAGTTTCCAGTGCCGGTGGGAGTTTTCGAAGTGGGCTAACCCCACCATTATCTGCTCTGGGTAGAGAGAGAGACCCCGGGGGTTCAAGAGGACCAAATGCCAGCCAGCTCCCAGCTCCCAGCTCCACCCATGGGACTGAACTTCTGTGTAATAGGGACCACCAGGAAGCTCCCTGGAGTCTTTCTCCATTAAGCCCTATTCTGAAAAACTCAATGCTTGAGAGAAGCTTCATTTGAAAAGATATCATGTCATATTTTTAAAAAATTACATTCTTTATTATAATAGCTCAAATCAGGTTAATTTGTAAAATTCTGCTAACTTGAGAGAAAACCTGAAATCGGGTGAAACGAGAATGTCTTTAAATTGCTTCAGAGACTCAGAGTCTGTGGAGCCGAAAGGGGCTTCTAGGTTGAGGAGTCGAGGAAAATGGGCCTGGGTTTTGAGATATCTTCCCTCTCCCCCTTTCCCCAGGTGGTCCCAAGAGGGCTCAGTTCTGACTGGGGCTGGGAGATGGGAGTTGTGGGGGCCTTTAACGGACACACTGTGATCTTGCCTCCTCTTCCTAGAAGCCCCCCAGGAGGTCCAGTCTGGAGCACAGCCTAAGAGCTTCCTTCTGAGCCCAGGATGCAGGTTCTGCACTTGGTCAGCAAATAGTTGTTGAATCCATTGTTGAACTGAATGACAGTCACCCTCACCATAATAATCGGACCCATGTCGATTAGTGTCTCAGGGACTGTTTGCTTGTTTCGTCTCTTATTTATTCCTTCATCCAAATTTATTGAGCTTCTATAGACCCGAGCTAAATAGGAGCTGGTCCTGCTCTCAAGGAGCTTTCAGAGCAGTGAGGATCAGACAAGCACACATGTGGTGACATCTTGGTGTGATGTGCAGCATGAAGCAGCACACGACAGCCCTCATTCCCCCAGCCCTGACTGTCCAGAGTTCACCTAGTCCTTGTCAGTTTAGAGCAGAGCCATGGGAGCAGGCTGCCAGGTTCCTTTTTCTATCTCACCCTTAACCCTTGGCTGAGTGACGCTGGGCAAGTTGCTGGGCCTCAGTTTCCTCATCTGTAAAATGGGGGCTCCTAGGGCTGCTGTAAGGATGACATGAGTGAATATACATGAATTCATGCCAGGACAGTGACTGGCTCTTATTACAATTCTATAGTCAGAATTAATACATCTGTTTGGCAGAGAGAAAACAGAAGCTTGGAGAACTTGAGTGCCATGCCCTGGGGTCCCCTCAAGCCAGAATGCAAACTCAGAGGGGGAAGCTTCTGGAGCCAGGGTCTTTCCCTCACCAGCCTCTCAACGCCCGTCCAGGGTGTCGCAATGGCTTCCCCGCACGCCGCCGCTTACCGGCGGGTGGTTGTCACAAGCACCACTAATACCCATATGGCTCTAACGTGTCAAGGCCAGATTAATCCGCACAATGAAATAAAATAATCTTTAATAAGAATACTAATCACCAGGCCTCGGGGAGCCCCACGACCTGGAGGCAGAGCTGGAAATTAATGGCTGAGACAGATGGAGCAGCTCTGGGCTGAGGCCTGGCCCTGCCCGGCACCCCAGGCGCTTCCGGAGTCTGTGTGCACCGTGTTGGGCGGTGGGCCAGGAGGGGCTCCTGCCCTTGCCCAGGCCGCCTGTCAGGCCGGCAGCTGCCAGAGGCCCTGGCCACCTCTCTCCGCTCCCCCATGAAGAGCTTGAGATTTGACAAATAAGGTGTCTGCCAGTGTACGACCAAAGGAAATTAATTCTAACTCAGATTTTAAACACAGTCATGAGGCAAAAGAGCTCGCTGTTCATGCTCCTCCTTCAAAATGAGACTCCGATATTTATAGAAAGATGATTAGGGCCTCGGAGGGTGATTTATATTCAGTGTCCAGGTGACAGGAAGGACAGCGACTGGGACTTCAGACACTAGGCTGCTGCTCCACTGGGTGATGTTCTGAGAGGTCCTTCTCCTCTCTGAAGTGAGGGGGTGGGGAGTGCAGCCAGGTATGGGGAGAGGTCCCTGGGGCAGGAACTGTGAGGCTTGGAGAGCTTTCTGGTCGCAGAGTTAGGAGATTTGGGATTCGATCATCCACTCCTACCTGTGTGCCCTTGGACCAGTAGCTTCAGCTCTCTGGGCCTTCATTTCCCCAGTGGTACACTGAACTAGCTCTGCATGGCTCTGGTATTCTTCTGTGGGTCCCTGAAGCCTGTAGTAAGGCTTCTAAAGAGCCCTGTGACCGGGTAGTTCCCCACTCCTGGGCTTTCTAATCAATTCTGTAAAATCGAGTGCTGACAGCTACCTCTGAGGGGCCCCATGAGGGCGAAACCAGCGAGATGGGAACCGGAGGCCGGGGGGCGGCTGTCACTGTGAGCCTGGCTCTGCTGCAGGGCTGAGCGCTGGATCCTTTCCATCACTAGAAGGAGAGGTGGGTGGTGCTCAGGGCTGAGCAAGTCAGAACCTCTGTCTCAGCCTTTTCTCTCAACTGTGTGTTCAGAGAACAGTCTGATGGAAAAGGCCAGGGGCCCCATTCAGGTTGGGCGAGGGGGTGGGCTGCAGCTCTGAGAGGACCCCCTTCAAGTAGCCCAGAAAAGGCACCCCCAGAGGTCCCAGCTTCTGGTTGGCCCCCATCCTCCCCACTCTCAGGCTACCCAAGGAGAGGGTGGGGATGGGGGACATTGGCTCGGGGCTCCCATCTGTGGACCTCAGTGCTGGATCGGTGCTGCTTCCTCAAAGGTTACGCAATCACGGAAGCCCACCACAGGGCTGAGAAAAGTCTCTCTCCATGTCACTGAAAACTGGCATTCTGCCCTTAAACTTCATTTCCTGCAGGGCACTATGAATTTATATTTTTTATTAAACCTGTAATTATCTTGCAACTGGCATAATTGTGCTGTATTGTGATTTAAATGTAAAATTCAAAATATGCTGCAATTCCCTAATGCTTTGGCATTTTTCTTTTTATTATTTTTTATTAACGTGCCAGCAGTGTCAGGAAATGGGAGTGGCCTTGGCCTCTCCCAACCCCAGGAGATTCCACTGCTCAGGCCTTGAGGATTCTACCAAGACCCTTGCCCTTGACATGCTGTGAAACTTTGGGCAAGATGCATTCCCTCTCTGGGCTTCGCTTCCTGCCTCTGTCAGACATGGAGCTGGAACATTCCCAAGACCTCTGAGCCAAGCCCCAACCCTAAAGTCAGGAGGACCAGTCTCCCACCTACGGACAAGTGTCTCAGTACACTCTGGACAAACAAGTGACTTGCTGTGCTCGCTGGCTGAATGCAGAGTTGGGGGCAGCTGCTGACCTTGGGCAAATATCCACCAGCCGGTGTACCAGTTACTGTCTGAATGTCACTCAGGGAGGAGGGAAGAGGGCTTTGTAGACAGAGGAAGCAGCTCCGGGCTCTGGAGTAAGACGACCTGAGATCAGATCCCTACTCTGTGACTTCGGTTGAGGGGGCTCGTCTTCCCACATGAGTGTGATGGGGATATGATACCTACTTTAGAGGACTAATGTAAGGATGAGAAATTACGTGAGCTCCCTGAAGGCAGGGACATCCTTGTGCCTATATCCTTAGTCCCTGGGACACAGTAGATGCTCAACAGAACAAGTAACTGACACGATGTGTAAGAGGTGCTTATTAAAGTGCCTAGGACACGGCAAACACTTGGAAAATTGTTGCTATTATCCCCATCAGAATGAGAGGGTGTTGGGAGCTGGCTCTGGCGGGGCAAGTAGTCGAGGTGGGCCAGGGGTGGGTATAAAGCCTATGCCTGGCTTAGAACAAGACAAACCTGACCGGACACCCAGTTCCACCTCTCACTGGCTATGAGATCTCAGCAGGTGGTGCCACCTCCTAGGCCTCAGTTTCCCCATCTGTAAAATGGAATTATAATACCTGCTTTGCTATGATGAACCAATGAATTGTTGTGTGAGGAATCCCCTTGCAAGGCGTAAAGGCAGTAGTGCTGTCTGTTATTATTATTGCCCAGTCGGGAGTTGAGAAGTACAGGGATGTCTATGATAGGAACCAGGAGAGGCTGGAAGCCTGGGGAACCTGGCACACCAGGCCACAGAGGGTGGAACAAATCCAGAAACAGGCAAATGTCACAGAAGGTGCTTTGGAGTTTAGGGTCTAGGAGAGGGAAAGACTCATAGAAGTTGGGAGTGTGAAGAAAGGTTCCTTAAGGAAATCAGCTCCAGAGAGGGGCCAGAAAGGGCCTAGTGGCTGGATGAAAGATCCTGGCCCAGAGAATGACCTTGTGCATCCCCTGAAATTGTCAGCTTGTGCCCTGATCAGTCCTGTGAGCACCGAGGGGCCTTTCCTGCCTGCTAGGGGCAGAGCGGTGGTGCTGAGGGGACTTGAAGTCCCCACTAACTGTGGCCTTGGGGCCTGTGTGGTAGCAGTGAGGACATTCCTGGTGGCTGACAGGGCTCCGTTCCCGTTTTCACTGAGGCTGTCTGGGGACTGGCCCCAGTCTCTCTGATCCCTGCATAAACGCATCCTCTTCCCCCAGGAGAACCAATGAGCCTAACAGCAGGCTTTCCTGTGCTCTGAGTGGCTGATGTGCCATGTGCCCAGCCCCCAGAGGCCAAGGAAGGGCCTAGGGCACGTAACCTGAGGTCTGGGCCTGGCTCTTGATCTCTAACATGGGAACCCTAGCACGTGCCACTCTATTTTGTGACCCGGGTGCCCTCAGTTGTCCTCCTTCACAAGGACCTCGGCTGTCTTCTCCCACAGGTCCTTAGATAAGATCCGCCTGAACACAGGCAGGCTGCCTCAGGTGCCCTGCCCGCATACCTTCAAAATGGCCCTGTACTACACTCACTGCCCAGGGCCTGGTGCCACTTCCCTCCACGCGTAGGTTAGAGGCTTAGTGGTTTTGAGAACGGACTCTGGAGCCAGACTTCTGGGTTCAAAGCATAGCTCTGCCACTTCCTAGCCATGTGACCTTAGGAAGTTGCTTTGCCTCTCTGTGCCTCAGCCTCCTCATCTATAAAACCAGGATAACAGTAGTTTCTATTTCATAGAGTAGTTGTGGGGATTAAATGAGTTAATATGTGCAAAGTGCTTAGAACAATGCCGATCTAAGTTAGCTCACAGCATCGTTCCCTAACACAGGTATGTAGCCAGTAGTACACCCAATCACACAGGTGCCTGTCGATGTACCTCCCCATAATGCCCCCGGAGGGTACCACAGGCCCGTAGCGTGTTTCTTCCCCACACCCCAACACACATACAGGTGGCTTGGTGTATTTGCTGACACAGAGACAGTGGAGGTTCACCCACCTTCCCAGGTGTTGTGTGTACCACCCAGACGCCTGCTGGCTACGGCACGCCCCGCCCCTCCGTACATCCCCCCCATCCCCCGGAAGCTCTGCCTAGACCCAGCGCATCCGCCAGCCCGCCCACGCCCACGCGTGGCGCGCTCACCCACACAGGCATCCCGCCGCTCCTCGTAGCCGGCGCTGCACACGCACTTGCCAATGGGCACCAACCACTCGCCCTCGGCGCTGCAGTACATCTTGGGCGTGTCCCGCTCCTCTGAGTGACGCACGCACTGTCCCCGCACCTCCACCAGCGAGGAAGAATCGGCTCCCGTCACTGCCTCTGAGAAGGCAGCCAGGTTGCGCACCATGGTGGGGCACTTCTTGTAGTAGATGCGGAGGGAAAGGATGGCGAGGCAGGCCCCGATGTCCTGGAAGGCCAGATAGAAGCCTCGCTTGCTGAGGGGGCCCACCCCGCGCACCTCCGTGTTCAGCTTGAGGCGTCGCACACCCAGGTCCGCGCCTGTGAAGCTCTCGTCGGCCGCAATGGTGTCGATTTTGAGGAACTGGCTTTCCTGGGTGCTGGCGCCCAGGTCGCGGTCTGACTCCAGGTAATAGAGGTTGAAGGTCTCCTTGCAGGTGCCCAGCACGCCGGGCATACTGTTGCAGTCACGCAGGGTAAACTTGATCTCAGCGTAGACGCGCCGGGCGCCGTCACGGGGCACCCAGCTGGTGCGCAGCCAGTTGTTCTGGTTGGGACTCATGACGTTGCACACCTGGTATGTGTGGATGGGCTGGAAGGACTCATCCACCTCGTTGATGGAGTCCCACTGTGGGCAGAGAGAGCACAGCCGGCTGAAATGAGAGTCAGCACCTCACCCTCTTTGCTGACTGGCATATGCCACATGCCACATGCACTGAGCTGGAGGCATCCTGGGGAAGAAGATGAAACAGTCTCCAGCTTGGAGAAGCTGACCTTCTAGTGGATTGTCACAGCTGCCAGACGCCAGGCACCCTACAGATGTGATCTCACAGAGTGTCATGTCCTTCTAGGGAAGGATTATTTGTTGCCTGTTTACAGATGAGCAAATAGAGGCTCAGATATACGAGCCACGTGCCCGAGGTCACGTAACTAGTGAACGAGGTAGCCAGGGCTGGAAATGATACCAAAGCTACAAAACTCTGACCTTGTTTGTATGTGGCTACTCCTATCACTTCCATATCAGCTGCCAGAGGAATCTTTCTAATGCACAAACCCGACCATGTCACACCCCAGCCTCAAGTCCTTCCATAGTGCCTCCTGAATTGGCGCTAGTTCAGTGACTGATGGGTGAACTCTCTACCCTGCTGTGTGTCATGGTCCCTCTGCCCCTCACTTGAAGCTGGGAGCTCAGAGGCTGGCCTGGGTCTCACTCAAGAGAGTACCAGGATATGGGGAAGTTGAGTGTGATTGTTTCTGTGTCAGGTGCTTGTCAGGCATCACTGATTCACAAATAAACCAGATGCTATCTGCAGAGGAAACGGCGACACATGGAATGAAAGAAAATGTCTGCAAATCATATATCTGATAAGAGATTAATATCCAGAATATATAAAGAACTTCCGCAACTCAACAACAAAAATACAAACAACCCTATTTAAAAATGGAGAAAGGGATGGAATAGACATTTCTTCTCCAAAGAAGATATACAGATGGCTAGATAGCACATGAAAAGATGCTCAACATCACTAATCATTAGGGAAATTCATATCGAAAGTACAATGAGATACCGCTTTACACCCATTAGCTATTATCAAAACAACAGAATGGTTATTATCAAAATAACAGGAAAAAAAATGTTGGAGAGGATGTGGGGAAATTGGAACCCTCATGCACGGCTGGTGTGAATGTAAAATGGTCCAGCCTCTGTGGAAAACAGTATGGCGATTCCCCAAAATGTTAAACACAGAATTACCATATGGTTCAGTAATCCCACTTCTGGGTGTACACTCAAAATTAATGAAGGCAGGAACTCGAACAGATATTTGCACACCCATGTTCATAGCGTACAAAAGATGGAAGCATAAGTGTGCATGGATGGATGAATGGATAAACAGAATGTGGCCTAGCCATACAATGGGATCATATTCAGCCTTAAAAAGGAATGAAATTCTGACACATGCTGCAACATAGGTGAACCTTGAGGACATTACACAAAGTGAAAGAAACCAGACACAAAAAGGCAAATATTGCGCAACTCCACTTATACGAGTGGTCGGATTCATAGAGACAGAAAGTAGAATGGTGGCTGCCAGGGACGGAGGAAAAGGGGTGGTGGAGGGGGAAGGAGTCATAGTTTATGGGTACAAAAGTTTCAGTCTGTGAGATGAAAAAAGTTCTGGAGCTGGATGACAGTGATGGTCACACAACAATGTGAATGTACTTAATGCCGCTGACCTGTACACTTAAACAGAGTTAAGACGGTAAATTTTATGTTACCTGTTTTTTACTGCAACTTAAAAAAACAGACAGAAATATACCAGAATTACTCCCTGCCCTCGAGTGCCTCACAGACAAGGTGGGGGACGGTGACATGCCAAAGGGAATGGGCACACGGGGCAAGCAAAACTTCTTCTGGGGCTCGAGCAGGAACCTCGTGCAGGGATGGGAGGGAAGAGCCCCGAGACAGCGAGCACCAAACAGCCCAGTTTAGACACAGAAGAATCATGTTGAAGATGCAGTGTTGAGAAATGAGCTAGAGGAAATAAACTGGCTCCAGTCTCTAAACTGCTGTGTGACCTTGGGCAAATCGCTGCTCCTCTCTGGGCCCCAGCTTCTTCAGCTGCAGAATGCTCATTGGCAGGAGCAGTCCTTGTTGGGCTGAGTTTAGTGGATTTGTGAGGGGCCTGAGGAGGGGCTTGGGACTAAGGCCAGATGGAGGGGACAGGCTCCGGGGTCCCTGTCCAGCTCCAGCAGAGATCTTTTCTCTTGGGCCTCTATGTGAAATTGTCCTTGAACTAGAGATCCTATTACATAAGCAGGGGCTGAGGAAAGATAAAGACCATTCCTTGTGGTGCCCTGAGGATCTGTGGGATTCTAAGCTGTTCCACAAGTGCCAGAGAAGGGACCACGGGCATCTCAAGTCTTTCCTGAATGCCAAAAGCCCCTCTTTCTCACCTCATCTTGGCCAGCTCTTTGGTCTAGACCCTCAGCAACCACATCTGTAAAATGGGGCTCAGACAGGCCCACTTCAGCAAGGCATCAGAGGTTGAAGGGAGAACAAGCCTGCAAAGTGCTTAGCTTGGGCCTGGCACAGGAAGGCACCCTGAGGAGCGGGACTGACATGATGCTGAACTGGCGGCATCTTCCCGGCTCTCCTGTGTCTGCCTCTGGGGACCACTGGGGAAAAGATCCAGGGCATGCCAGCCTCACCTGAAAGAGATCATGCCTCCTGTACCCCCCACCCCAAGAGAAGCCCTGCCCTGCACCCCCACTCTGCAACTGGGGTCTCTGGGCAGTGCTGTGTCACATCTGGGGTTAAAGTCATTGCCACAATTAATGGAGCACCAAAGAGCCAACCAGCTGCTCCCTGTCTGTTTCCTGCCAGGGACAGGGATAAATTAATCAGCTCTATCTGAGCCCGCTCCAGCTGCCCCACCAGTGCCAATGGCCTGACCTGGCCCTGCCAACCCTAGGGCTGCTGCGGACGCCAGAATGGCACAAATTCCTGGAGGCTGGTGCGAAGGTAGAATCTGCCTTGTTCTCTACCTTGGTGCCCTCACCCTATGCTGAGTGCCACTCCCGCCCAAGCTGCCTTTCTAGCCCCTGGCATATTCCTCCCGCAACCCCCACCATTGCTCTGGAACTCTGTCCTCTTCCCTGAACAGAATGCAGTAAACCAGCTGTGCAGCCCTGGGTATATCACATCTCCTTTCTGAGTCTTGGGCTTCTCACGTGTGAAATGGGGTAGCTAACGCCTGGCCCTTCCATCTACTCCAGGGGTGGTGAGGATCAAGTGAGACAATGGGAAGGAATGTGTCCTCTCATCTAAGGCAGCTGTTAGGTCACCAGAGGTGGAGCATATACCAGTGGGTGGAGGGAGGGATGCAAAGGGAGGGGCACAGCCTGGTTAAAAGCATGGGTTCTGGGGCCAGACTTCCCCCGACCTTAGCAGAGATGCTTAACCTCTCAGAGCTTCTGGTTTCTTATTAGTAAACTGTCCTTTTCATGCACCATCTCATAGGTGACAACTGCATGAAGCAGGTTGTAATCGTCCCCGTGTTATAATTGAGGAGCTGGGCAAGGTAAGGGACTTGCCTGAGTCACACTGATTAGGGGAGGTGGAGCATCAGCACATCCCAGCACCTTGGCCTTTAGGCATGTGTGGCCTGCCTGACAATCTTATAACTTTGCTGATGGTGGAGACAGCCTAGGATGACCCTTGTACCCAGAGTGTTTAACAGACTCCAGAACCAGTGGGATGGCTGGAACCTCAAGGACCGTCTCCAAAGGGCCCCCACCCAGCTGGGGAGGAGAATCACCTGGAAAGCTTATTAAACCAAAGATTCCCCAGGTCCCTTCCCAGACCCTCAGATGTGAGCATCTGCATGTTCTACCTGCTAGCCTGGCACAGGTTCAAGGTCTAGAGTCTGGGAATGAGGCGTCTCATCCAGCCTTCTTCCCTCCCTGAGTAAGCTCAGTCTCCAGGCCCCATAGAGATGGAAGGTGGTCCTTGGCTCAGCGGACAATGCAGGGTTGCCTCCCACCTCTTCACAATGAAGACAGAGACCAAAGAGGGTGGAACGGACTCAGTGTGTGCTCCGTGGTCAGAGAGATATGAGTTCCAGGCCATCCCTTGGAACCTGTCTGATGGTAGGCAAGTTGTCTCCCACTGCTCTGAGCCTCAGCTTCCTCATCTGTGAAAGGGGGTGGCTATCCCTAATTGCGGGATTGTTAGCAGGGATTAAATGAGATAACATCTGTGAATTGTTAAGAGCTGTGTGAATATAAGCTATTATTTGTTCTAACTCCCAAATGAAATGAGATAACTCTGAGCCATACTTCACAGTGCCCTGCAAACAAAGAACCTTAGATTACCAGTGTCATCATCCAAAACACGAGTCCGGTCACGTTCCTCGTCTGCTTAAAACCCTTACCACTCCTTGTTACTCTAAAAACCAAGTCCTAAGATCTGAGTGGGACAGAGGGACAAAGACAACCAGAACCAAGCTGGGACCATGCCCACTCCATCCTAGCTACTGGGTCTCAGGGGACATGCTAACCCAGTCAATAAAAAGCCAGCCAGTCATCTCCTCATGGGTCGGCCCCCTACCACTGGCAAACTGGCTCACTTTGCCAAAGCCCTTTCTTACCCATGCGTACCCCCTGAGAGACAGCCATCTGGGGCACACACAGTGGAGTGCTTCACAGGGAGACACTGAGGCCCAGGGAGGTAAAGGGACACCTCGAGGACCCAGACTCTGTCCTTAGGCAGAACTGACCTGCTCAGGCAGAGAAGGGGTTCCCTTCTGGTTCTCGGGCCCCAGGGCTTATCTCTCCAGCTCCCTGAAGCCTGGTGAGTGGGGACTGATGACAGCGAACTCAGCTTACTGCTACCTGGGGATGAGACTTCCAGAGAGAAAGGACCAGGGCTCCATCCTGATCTTAGCCACAGGCCAGAGGCCACAGACAGCCTGGATGAAAACCCCACTCCCCAGCAAAGACTCCCTTCATAAATAGTAACTCATGGCATTTTTATCGTTGTTATTACTAACATTATTATCCTTTTGTCTCCAAAGCATTCATGAAAGAAGCCGTGTGTGCATGATGTGCTCATGTCTATAAGTGGGATGCGTATGTGTGTTTCTGAGCACAGTGGTGGCAGGAAATTTATATGAGATATAACCATAACACACACTAATAACAACGATCACGACAATAATCCATTTAGTGAGGGCTCACTACGTGCCAGGCACAGTGCCAATATCATGTGTCATCTCCCCTCAACTTTGCAGCAAACCCCACAAGGTCATCACATGCTCGTTGCTTTCTACAGACAGGGAAACTGAGACTCAGAGAGGTGAGGTGGCGACCTAGGGCCACTCAGCTTGTCAATGGCAGAGCCAGGAGCCCACCAGGCTCATGGGCTCCAGGCGAGGGCAGCGTAGCTGTGAGGGAGGGGACCTATCTATGAGCAGCGAAAGACTTGATACGGCCCTTCCTGGTCTTGTTCCTTGTTATTGATGCATCTTACGCTACCCTGATCCCGGCCGTGGCACATTATGAATCTGTAGGCCCAGGACATACATATGAGGATCCCATATCTAGAGCCTCAGATGTGAAGAATTGGGAGCCCAGCACTAGGGCTGGTTCTGTAACCCCAAGGCTCTGTGTGCACTAAACGGTTAAAAAATCAACAGCTGTGTCTCTAACTGCTGTGTGTCCTTGGGAAAGTCTCTTCACCTCTCTGGGCCTCTGCTTCCTCTGTGAGTTGTAGCCTTTCTCTATTCACAGAGGGATGACTCTGGCCCCACTGCCCATCACTTACCCCGTGAGCTGGATATGTGAGCCAGCCCCAGTCCCCGTGGATGGTTGACGTGTCCAGCAAGTTCACTACAAAACAGGAGACAAGAGTACATCAGACCCCTGGGACCAAGAGTAGCCTGACCCAGCCACACTGGTCAGCTCTCAGCCCCCAATAGGTCTGCTCCATATCTTTGTGCCCTTTCTCACTTCCTCTGTCCATCAAGGCTCAGTTCAAGTTCTCTCTCTTCCCTGAAGCCTTCCTCTACCACCTCGGCCAAAACATGATCTTCTAAACTCCCAGAACGCAAGGTGCTCCGAGTGCCAGGCTGCTTCAGTTGGTGGTTCAGTGGGATACCTGAGATGGGCTCAGAATTCAGGAGGTCTGGATCACTTAGGAGCTGTGTGTCTCTTCCTGACCTCACTTTCCTCCTCTGTAAAATGGAAGTGACAGTAGTTCCTGTCCCACAGGGTTTGTGAGGATGACCTGACCCTTGCCCCACTCATGGGACATGATGGTATTCAAAAGCCCTACTAACGTTCCCTCTGTGAGGTCATGCCTCCCCCAGAGGACTGGCCCCAGCTTTACAATCATCAGTATCCCCCAGGAGGTGCTTGGCACCTAGTAGGTCCTCTGTGCACATTCAACGTGGAGGGATTTAGAAGAGTAAGAGCTGCCTCTTGCGCTGGGAAGCTGGAGATGCCTCTTCTGTGACCCGCACAACAACCCCAAGAGATGGTCAGTCTCATCTCCATTTTAAGGATGAAAAAACTGAGCCCCAGGGAAGTTTGGGAACGTGCCTAGAATCCCCCAGGTGTAGCTGGCAGGGCTGGGATTCAGAGCACCTGCTGCGGCAACAACAGACAACACCACTAATGCCAGGAGCACTGGCCAGAAAGCAAGTCTAGTATAAGCCAGACTCTCACAGTAGAAAAAAGAGCCTGCTATTGGACCCAGACACCTTTGGACTCGTATCTCAATACAGCTACTTAGTAGCAGGTGACTGTCCCTTCTCTGAGCCTCAATTTCCTCATCTATAAAATGGGGATTATAATCTCTACAGGTAAACTGTAAAGCCTGGCTGGAGTCAAGGCACAAAAGCTAGTTCCTTTTCCTTAAGTCCTGTCCCTCCTGCCTCTCTCCTTGTACCTCAGATCCACCTACTCGCTTTACAATGATAAAGATGCATTAAACTGTTAAGAAATCAGGGCTTGAGTCCCTGCTCTGTCTCTAACTGCTGTGTGTCCTTGGGCAAGTCCCTTTACCTCTCTGGGCCCCTACTTCCTTTGCTCTATCTAGTGATATTTGTGTGAGAGGGCTTTTGGCTCCACAGTCCCTTAGCTTTCCATTTCACTCTCTCTTCCATGTACCCCCTCTTCCAGCCAGCAATCTTGGGCTTCCAACTAACCCAACAAGCAGGCTTGGGGAGGTTACAGAGGGTTAAAGCCAGAGCTCTCCTGGAACTTTCTGCAGGAAGGCTGGGTGTCCTTCTGCCTGAGATTTGCATAGCTCTGTGCCTGCCCCTCAAAGATGGAGACAAGTGTCTTCAGGAAATGTTGGAGTGAGGACGCTCTTATTTGCTGATCTTCTTCCTCCTCTCATCCTCCCCACCCTATTGTCGGAGGGGCGTGGAGGAGGCTGGCTGGAGAAAGGGTTTGCAGAACCAGGGAGGGGCCTCTGTGCTCTGCCCTGAGTCCCCCGCGGCCAGGTAGGATCAGGGGATGGAGCCAATGTCCACAGAGGATCTCCCCTCCCCAAGCTGGCCCCACACCAGGGGCTCAGGCAGAGAAGCCTTCCCACCTCCCTCCCTCCCTCTCAGGCAATGGAGAGAAAACTGGGTCAGGCAGCTCTCTCCTGCTGCCTGGTGGGAGGGGGAGGGGGCCGCACTGCAGTTTCCCCCAGACCAGCAGGGCCTAGTTTGGGGATAGGGTGGAGAAGGGGACCCCTATGGGCTCCCAGACCCTGACCCACAACCTGAACTGGGCTCAGAGCTGGAGGGTCCCTTTTCCATGCAGCTCAGACCTGCCTCTACATAGGGGGCATCTGAATGAATGTCCCCTGCTCGGGCTCCTCCCCCTGGATCACACTGCAGATCTCACTTTCCAGGCCCTTCCCTCCCCTGGGAAGCCCCACCACATTTGCAGTGGATTCTTGATCAGCCAGCCAGGGGGCTCAGGTAATCCAAAGATAAGTCAAAAATCGATTCTATCGGATTCAAGAAGAGCTACAGGATTCCAGGGCTGCTTGTTCCAATACCTTCCTGGCCCTTTTCTGCCCCTCCCCTCCTCTCCCTCTGTCCCCCGTTACCCTACCTCATGTTCCCTCCTGTGGGGAAAACACAGAGTGTCTGTCGCGGGAAGCTCCAGGTCCACAGGAGCTTTCATCAGGGCTGGAGAGAATTCCAGCACTAGGTCCACCCGGCTGGGCCTGAGTCCTCGTGCAGATTCGGACCCTTCTGGTCACCAGGGCTAGCCTCTCTCCTGCCTCTTACACTGCCAGACTTTGGGTCTATATGACATCTGTGACATCAATTCCCCTCTTCGGGTCCGTTTCCCATTTGCAAATGTCAGGGTTGGATTAGATGGTTTCTCAGAGCCTTCAATGGAGCAAATTACTAAAATCCCCTGTGCCTCAGTTTCCTCATCTGCGAGATGTCCATAGGCATCCCTCCTGGGTCTACCTGCCCTGGCTGTTCTGGGGATCAGACGGGTCCCTTTCCTGCTCTGAGAAGCACGGATAATTCCTAAGCCTTTCCTGTTCGACTGTGGAAGGCATTATGCGATTTCTTTTTTTCTCCAGCGCCGTCACCTTCCCCCATTCCATTTCGCTGAGACTAATACTTAAATTGATTTACATTCCCTGAGGACACAGTGCATGCTGGTGAGGCTGGAGAATTCGGGGTGGCCAGGGGATGTCAGCCAGGACATGAATGCCTCCGAGATCACCTCCGAGCGATGGGCTGTGAGCCTGATGGGGCTGCCCAGGGGGTATCTCTGCAGGTGCAGGGCCCTCCCTTAGACCTGAGAGGCACCTGGTGTAGGGGTACTTGGCCAGCCTGGAGCACTGTCACCTTTGCAGGACCCTAGCTGGGAACAGAGCCCCCTTCTCAAGTTCCAATAGTCTCCCTGGCTCTAGGCCAGCCCAAGGACGCTGCCAGAAGGGACTCCTGGCTGTCCTACGTGGAACCTATGCCTTAGGTCTCTATCCATGGCTGTCCCACATGCATACGTCACCCATGCCCTGCTGTAGGTATGCTGCTGCGTTGATCAGATAGGTACGGACTGGCCCTTGGACAACGCCCCCTCCACCCTGCACAGACTCATCTGCCTTTCTTCATGGATCTTCCCTCTTCCCCAACTGTTGCCGCTCCCCTGATACGTCCTCTCTCCCAGGCCAATGGTCTGTCCTCCCTAAAGTCCCCTCCCCAGGGGACTCTGGTGTTTGTCAGCCTGTAATTCTGGAGGGTACTGGCTCCTCCCTGGGTAGACAGTAGAACCAAGGAATTGATGGCGTACTGCCCAATGCCCAGAGCCTTGATGTGGGTCCCCTCATAATCCTGCTGGGTGATGAGGCTACCCAACCCTGGGGAAAATGTCTTCTTGGGTCACAGCTCTGAGAGCCCACAGGCCCCTTGTTCCCTTTCCCCTGCTCAACCTGTCCCCCTTCTCTCCTGATGTACAGGAACCTGCACCTCATCATTACCCACCTCAGCCGGCCATCTCACCCCTCAGCTCCCCTTATATGGTCCCTGCTCCCGGTGTGGCCCCAGTTTCACTGACGATTATGACTTTGTTTCTGTGCACATGCATTTCTGTGGGCATGAATGCAAGTTTGAGGGTCTCCTGATATATGTGGTGTCTGCCCACAGATGTATATATTTTTCAAGTGCATGCATCTGTGCACATATGTGTGCACACATGTACTGTCTGCACTTCTGTGCATCTGACAGTGGGCGGAGGGGCCGCTGTCCATGCATGTCTCTACAGGCCTGGGTCTATGTGTGTAAACCCCGATGTGTGTCCACGTGTGCTTGAGGGTACAGCTGTATCTCCATGAGCTGTTCGTGTGTGTGTCGGGGGGGGGTGGGCGTGGATCTGTAGTGTAACTAAGCGTGGATGAGGAACACTGGCTCCGGAGCTCCCTCGAATCTGGAAGTACGTTCTGCCAGGGTGAGACCGGCTCTGGACCCAGAATGTCAGTCCAGGTCAGGCTTCTGCTGGGCAGCAAAGGAGGTCCGGGGCGGAGGCTGGGGCAGGGATCTGAACCCAGGACAGCATCCTGTATGTATGTACATGTAGGCGTGAGGCTCTGGGAGTTGGAGAAAACTGATGGGTGCTCCCTCCCAGCTTTCCTTATCCCCTCCCACCCCGCCAGACCCTTTTAGTCCTGACTGTTCAGTTTACAACCCCTGATCCTGCCTCCCACCCCTGTGAGTGACTGGACTGCCCCAGCCTTACCCCCGGACAAGACTCTGCTCTCCAGGGCCTTGCTTGCCTCGGTTCCTTTGCCCACCCTTCAGCCCTCTCCTCACTGTCCCTTCTTCCCGAGGCTACCCCTTCCTGCCTACCACAACTGCCGCCCCACCGCCTATTACTCCCTGGCCGCCGTCCCTCCTTCGCTCCCAGCCCTCCTGCCTAGCCACTTCCGAGACTCTCACTCCCTGCCCCTCATTCTTGTCTCCCCGAAACCCTGTCCTGTTCTCCTTGGTCCCTGTTTTGCAGTTCTGGGTCCCCATCTTTCAATTCCATCCCTTGCCTCCTCCTTCTTCAGCCCTTTGAATCTCATTCTGCATCCTTGTGTCCCTCTGTCACTCTGTTCTCTGTCCCCACCCCTGTCCCCTGCCCTTTCTGTCTCCTCTCTCCTCTCTACCCCTTTTCTTGTTCTCTGTCCCCCATCCTGTCCCCTCGTCCCCAATGTCCGATCTTCAGTTCTCTGTCCCCAGCTCTAGATCCCTCAGCCCTGTCCCCCAGTCTCCCGTGCCCCTGTCCCTCATCCTCAAGTCCTCGGGTCCCAGTGCCCCGGTCCTGTCTCCGTCTCCATCGCTCTGATCCTTGACCCTGGGTCTCTCCCGCGGTGCCATCCCTGTACCTTCAGGCCCGAGGATCCCAGACCCTTTGGCGCTCAGGGTCCAGGGGAAGGAAGTTGAGCCTCGGGCAGCGCGCGCCGCGCCCCGGGCCCTTCGGCCGC